TTAGCTCTAGTAATTTTCTGGTAGAGTCTTTAGGGTTTTCTATGTAGAGGATCATGTCATCTGCAAACAGTGAGAGTTTCACTTCTTCTTTTCCTATGACCCACCTCCCAGTATATTGGAAATAAAAGCAAAAAATAAACAAATGGGACCTAATGATACTTAAAAGCTTTTGCACAACAAAGGAAACTATAAGCAAGGTGAAAAGACAGCCCTCAGTTTGGGAGAAAATAATAGCAAACGAAGCAACAGACAGAGGATTAATCTCAAAAATATACAAGCAACTCCTGCAGCTCAATTCCAGAAAAATAAATGGCCCAACCAAAAAATGCGCCAAAGAACTAGACAGACATTTTTCCAAAGAAGACATACAGATGGCTAACAAACACATGAGAAGATGCTCAACATCGCTCATTATCAGAGAAATGCAAATCAAAACCACAGTGAGGTACCATTACACACCAGTCAGGATGGCTGCTATCCAAAAGTCTACAAGCAATAAATGCTGGAGAGGGTGTGGAGAAAAGGGAACCCTCTTACACTGTTGGTGGGAATGCAAACTAGTACAGCCACTATGGAGAATAGTGTGGAGGTTTCTTAAAAAACTGGAAATAGAACTGTCATATGACCCAGCAATCCCCCTTCTGGGCATACACACCGAGGAAACCAGATCTGAAAGAGACATGTGCACCCCAATGTTCATCACACACTGTTTATAATAGCCAGGACATGGAAGCAACCTAGATGCCCATCAGCAGATGAATGGATAAGGAAGCTGTGGTACATATACACCATGGAATATTACTCAGCCATTAAAAAGAATTCATTTGAATCAGTTCTAATGAGATGGATGAAACTGGAGCCCATTATACAGAGTGAAGTAAGCCAGAAAGATAAAGAACTTTACAGCATACTAACATATATATGGAATTTAGAAAGATGGTAATGATAACCCTATATGCAAAACAGAAAAAAGAGACACAGATGTACAGAACAGACTTTTGGACTCTGTGGGAGAAGGCGAGGGTGGGATGTTTTGAGAGAACGGCATCAAAACATGTATATTATCTATAGTGACACAGATCACCAGCCCAGGTTGGATGCATGAGACAAGTGCTCGGGCCTGGTGCACTGGGAAGACCCAGAGGGATCAGGTAGAGAGGGAGGTGGGAAGGGGGATCGGGATGGGGAATGCATGTAAATCCATGGCTGATTCATGTCAATGTATGACAAAAAACACTACAATATTGTAAATAATTAGCCTCCAACTAATAAAAATAAATGAAAAAAAAATGCTCTTCTCCATGACTTCCTTACATATGTGAGTGATTTGTCATTCTCCCAGTTTCTTGGGTCAAATATTTCTGGAATTACCTTTGACACCTCTCGTTTTCATAGTCCACATCCAATTCATAATCAAATCCTGTCACACTTCCACTCAAAATATATCTTAAAAGGTCATATGTCACCAATTCCATTGCTACTGTTCTAGTTAAAAGCAAAGTCATCACCCATTACATAGGAAGGACTGTCTTTCCACTGATCTCCCGAGGTCCTCTCTAGAGTCTATTCTTTACCCTCTAGACCAAGAGATCCTTTTAAAATGAGTCAGATCCTGACTTGACTTTCTTTTATCACAATCCTTCCATGGTTTTTCCTTATGCTACAGATAAAATCTAAAGTCCCTGTGGTTCCCAAGACTCACTCCGCCTAACCTGTTCTTGTCCTGGCCATTTATCTTCATCATGCTACCACTCTCCCTGTTGTTCACTGCTATCTCACCAATACTACTCCTGTTCTGTTCTTTGAACAAGGTCTGGATGCTTTTAGGTAAGAGTCTTTGAGTGTGCTATTCTCTCTGCCCCCCACCCCCTATCTCTCATATGATCATGTCAAATGTCACAACCTCAGGAGCTGTGATTCTTCAAATCTCTATAGTCAACAAAGTCAATGCTACCTTCTTGAACAGTTCTTTTTGCACAGTATACATCAGCAACTGATATTATACCATATAGTTATTTGTTAGCTTCTTTATTGTTTGTGTTTCCTACTACAACATAAGCTACATGAAGATGGGGACTTCAATTTGCTCATTGTTTTATCCCTAGCATCTAGCTGAGTGTTTGTTACTTAGTATGCCTCCAATAAATATTTCTTGAATGAATGATGATTGATATTTAGAAAGAAAAGGATTGTGCACAAATCTAGATCTTGTGTGATCTCTGGAGGACCTCATAGAAAGCTGTTATTACAGGTGAATCAGGGTGGGAATATGAAAAAGCTAAAAGTGAAAGTCTCAGTCATATCTGACTCTTTGGGACCCCATGGATGTATGCAGTTCATGGAATTCTCCAGGTCAGAATATTGGAGTGGGTAGACTTTCCCTTCTTTAGGGGATCTTCCCAAACCAGGGATTGAACCCAGCTCTCCCACATTGCAGGCAGATTCTTTGACAGCTGAACCACAAAGGAAGCCCAAGAATACTGGAGTGGGTAGCCTGTCCCTCCTTCAGCAGATCTTTCCAACCCAGAAATCCAGCATTGCAGGTGGATTCTTTACCAACTGAGCTATCAGGGATAGCTGATAGAAAGCTGTTATTACAGGTGAATCATGGTGGGAATATGAATGTCACATTACTAGTACAGACAGAGAAAAAAAGTTGAAGATCTGGCTATGTGAGAGGAGCACCACTTTGAGATGTGGAAGCCTGAATCCTCACTGCTCTGTACAACAGAATACACTTGTGACTTTCTATAAGTATGTACACCAGATGTTCTGATTCAGCATTCTAGGTGTAGTTGTTTTAGATTGGGTTCCATAGAAGCAGACCCCGAGACAGGCATTTTATCATTGTGAATTATTGAGGATGCTTGCAGGTAAATCTATAAGGAAGGGAGGAGAAGATGACGGGGAAAGAGAAGGAACTGAGCAAGAATGGGGTCCCAGATAGCCTAGCCTTGGTCTGATGTACATGACAAAGGCTCTGGATAATAAAGTTGCAGCATTAAGTCGTTTTCTCCTTGAATCAAGGGATGAGTTTCAGTCAGTGTAGTTGACCTAGGGTTGCCTGATTATGAGGAAGGTATCTTTTCAGGTAATAACAGTGGAGGATAATTCTCATTATACAGCCAACATTCTCGGCAGTTGGGGGATGTTGCCATGGCCCAGTGAAGGCCACTCCCACATCTTCTACAGTGGGACCAACAGGGGTTGACTGTGAAGCATAGGTATTCCCTCATTCAACAAATACTTATTGTATTCACAGTCCTGAGATTCACTGTTAAACAGACATGGTCCCTGAAGCATCGATAGTGAGAAAAAGAGTTTTAATAAAACAAACATGATCCTGGTATGATACATATTGGATTATTGCCAAATAATGAATTGAAGCAAAATTATGGAAATAAATCCACGATACTTATAAGTAATGTTTTTCTATAAATGTCCTTTGCTGTAACTCTTAGTAAGATTGTATAAACTGCCAATCACAGTAATCTTTATCTAATGCTAGTTGTATATTAATCAAATAGCTCTTAGGCATTATTTGAAAACACAAATAGAGTAAAGAAATGTGATTTTTAGCCTGGAAACTATGTTCATATACAAGCCCTATATTAGATCATTGTTGAAAAATCGAGATGATTTTCTTTAAGTGGGAGTTTAAACAGAAGAAAAGTAAACATTTAAAGTTTAAAGACAGTTAAGATTTTGGATTGGATGTCACTTCTTTGCCTTTTAATAGTTACCCCTCTAGTCCTATACCTCATGGCAAAGGCAAGAATAAGTGTGGGATGAAAGCCTGGGATCTTGTTTTTGTGGCATACTCCAGTTCACAAGTCTGTTGTTCCATGTCCAGTTCTAACTGTTCTAATTTTCCACAGTTTATTGTGATCTATACAGTCAAAGGCTTTGGCATAGTCAATAAAGCAGAAATAGATATTTTTCTGGAACTCTCTTGCTTTTTTGATGATCCAGCACATGTTGGCACTTTGATCTCTGGTTCCTCTGACTTTTCTAAAACCAGCTTGAACACCTGGAAGTTCACGGTTCACATATTGCTGAAGCCTGGCTTGGAGAATTTTGAGCATTACTTTATTAGATTGTGAGATGAGTGCAATTATGCAGTAGTTTGAGCATTCTTTGGCATTGCCTTTCTTTCGGATTGGAATGAAAAGTGACCTTTTCCAGTCCTGTGGCCACTGCTGAGTTTTCCAAATTTTCTGGCATATTGAGTGCAGCACTTTCAAAGCATCATCTTTCAGGATTTGAAATATCTCAACTGGAATTCTATCACTGCCACTAGCTTTGTTTGTAGTGATGTTTTCTAAGGCCCACTTGACTTCACATTCCAGGATGTCTTGCTCTAGGTGAGTGATCATACCATCGTGATTATCTGGCTCATGAAGATCTTTTTTGTACAGTTCTTTTGTGTATTCTGCCCACAGACCTTGAGTCCATGTGGAGGCTAAAATTTTACTGATGTCAATGAATTGTTATAAAATGTTTACCATTATAAGGCTGGCATAGCTTTGTTTAAAAACAACACAATTTGAAGGACAAAAAGCCATTTGAGTAAATAGGTACAGGTTACCAAGTTTCAAGCAAATTGGAGAAGTTAGTATAGGAGGTAAGATGTGCCATGAAGAGTATAGTAGGAAAACTTGTTTCATACATTAAATTATGAGACAGAAATACACAAGAATATTTTTAAGAGGAATTAGATACTGGTAAATAGCAGCTGGTAGGTCCTGGTTTTTATCTTAAGGTCTATCTATTTTCAATTTTTAAAAACCTTTGCCTGGTGCTGTGGAAACTACTATCTTGAAAAATAAGTCAGCTAATGAGCATCATAATATATGTCAGTAAAATAGTATATTTCTTATTTTCCATAGAGCAAAATTTCAAAGGAATGTAATCTTGTTAAAGTGTCACCAAACCATCTCTTCGGGAGAAAACAATGGCAACAGAAATAATAAGCTTATTTTCAAGAATTCTATTCATACCTCAAATCCCTGGGGTCTTCCTAGACTCTCTTTAATATGTTTCCATGCAACAAGAATCTCTGACACAGACATACTTGTAGCCTTGACATCTGTGGGAGCAGCAGTGGGTTCTGTATGAAGGAAAATGGAAATAATAAACCACGGAGGTAATGGGTTACACCTACCAAAGTATTGCACCTGAATATGGCAGGTGTTACTTCCTTCTACCTGATTTTTTAAATGAAGGGCTCTGGTGATTATGAAAAACACAACAAGATAAAAAGATAATCTTCTTGGATTTCTCTGAGATTAAGTCTCATCAGTACCTTACCAATGACAAATAAATCTAGCAAGACAAGTGAAGAAGATCTTTATCCTTGGATTAACTAGGATGTTTCTGGAGAAGTTAAATTATCTGACTTAAATTGTCTGCCAGACTGGCATAATGATCAAAAGAATGGACTAGGAATCAGGCTTGGTTTTTTGCTTGCTAAGGTTGTTTTTTGCCTTCCAGAAAATTATTTACCTTCAGGCAAGTTACTTTACTTCTTCCTGAGCTCCAGTCCCATCATCTATCATCAGGCATATTGAGAATACTTAATTTGTAGGTTTTTAAGGTTAGTTTTTGTTGGAATAATACATATAAACTATCTAGCATAGTTCTTGGCACTTAAAACATCTATTCAGAAAATATCATTTATTTTACTTTTTACCTTGTGAAGGTACAAACAGGATCTAAGTTTCATTTGATTTCTTTTGTTGTTGTTCCAACCACAAAGCCACATTTCCATGATTGTGTAAAGAATGTGTTATGAATCATGATATTTAAAAGGCATGCATTGACTTTTAAGACTGGTATGGGCTGAAAAGGAAAGTCCCTGAAGGTCTCGGTGCTGTTGCTCAAAACCACCTTTTCATTCGTGTCTATGCTCAGTGACCTTCTGCACTGTTTTAGTTTTTGCTTTTTTCCCCCAAATACATCATGTCTGACTGGCATCCATCAAGAGGTGCACTTTATTTGAGGTTGTACTGTTTGTGAGGAACAAAATATTTCCAGCTTTGACATTGCTGAATCATAAATACTGTGTCACAAACACACGTTAAATGAAATGGCAGAATGAAGGCCATATATTAGTTCAACCAATCTGTACACAGTCGATGTCAAAAACTCCTACCCCATGAAAATTGTAGAGACTTTGATTCTAACCCCATATCACTGCCAAGATTTCAGATGAAGCTTATCATTGCAAAGACTTCAGATGAATCTATTTAGATTCAGTCAACCAGATGGCAAAGGCAGAGTTCTAAATAAGATTTTTATGTTTTAGACATATAAAGGGAATTATAGCCATTTGCTGAGAATATTTCATTTTCTGATGGAAAATGGCCACATGCCTACCTTGAGAGCCTTCATATATTGTTAATTGAAAAAATAAAAGCAAAAAACATCTGCCCGTGTTACTATGAAAGAAGTCCACAAAAGACTTTTTTAAAGTTTGTACTAAGCAATGGTTTTTCTTTTGGTCAGGCTTTCATTAAAATTACATACCATATTTGCATTAATACAAAGTACCTTGATAAATTCACATTAATCTTTACACAGAAGCTGACATTAGTTTCTGCCATGGTATAATTTGCAATTTCTTATTCTGTCCTTTAAATATTTTTATTTTATTTTATTTTGCTCAGTGGTCTCCCACACCCCACTTTCCAACTCCTTGTTATTTGTGCATCTACCATTTTAAAAAAATGGGAAAAGCTTCTAATTTTATTCTATCCTAGAATTCTGATCATCAAACTTGCAACAATTTTTTCATCGCTATTTAATAGGAGCTAAAATTCTTGATTTTGTAAGTAAATGAAAGGAAATGCTCATGTTCTTAAGTGTGTATAATCTGATCTCCCGGATTTAGAATATGATTTATTTCAAAGAAAGCCACTCTTTAAATATCATTTGTTATTTAGAAGGAGTTTTGCTTATCTTTTCAGTGAATGCACTGCAGAGATTTGTGTGCCAAATGCCTTTTTCAACTTTTTTTTTACTAAGGTAATTATATCTTTGCCAAAGAAGATTTCAAGGAGATAAATAATTTCAGAAGCACAAAATATGTGGTTGGATTTCTATCTCTACCTTTAGAGAAAGAAATTTCTCTCTCAGCTTTCTGTAGCACTACACAGTTTAAGTACTTTTTTAGGCAGAATGATGGAAGTTTTAAAAAGGTAAGAAATAAAGAAAAATATTCAGAAAATTATTTCCCAAACTAGCACCCTAATTTCTGTTTAAAAGCTCTAAGGTTTTTAAATCAATGTCAGACATTAAAAGACATTCCACAGTTGCACTCACAGGGGCTAAATATTATGCAATATTAGAAAGTCACTTGGATCAATAGTCACAGCTAATTAAATGAGGGTCAATGAAACAAGAATTGAACAGTAAATTTTTATTTGTTTCACTTTCTAGATATAAATAATATCAAGCATTGGGGTTTCTCTGATAGCTCTTGTAATGCAGGAGACCCTGGTTCTATTCCTGGGTTCAGAAGATCCACTGGATAAGGGATAGGCCAACCACTCCAGCATTGTTGGACTTCTCTTGTGGCTCGACTGGTAAAGAATCCACCTGCAATGTGGGAGACCTGGGTTCGATACCCTGGAGAAGGGAACGGCTACCCACCCACTCCAGTATTCTGGCCAGTATCAAATATAACCATGTTGACCTGCATTGAAAATTTAATCATGTAAAAAGGTGCTGCTCTTGCTGCTGCTAAGTCACTTCAGTCGTGTCTGACTCTGTGCGACCCCAGAGACATCAGCCCACCAGGCTCCACCATCCCTGAGATTCTCCAGGCAAGAACACTGGAATTGATTGCCATTTCTTTCTCAGATGCATGAAAGTGAAAAGTGAAGTGAAGTTGCTCAGTCGTGTCTGACTCTTCACGACCCCATGGATTGCAGCCTACCAGGCTCCTCCGTTCATGGGATTTTCCAGGCAAGAGTACTGGAGTGAGTTGCCATTGCCTTCTCTGGTAAAAAGGTGACCTCATTCAATTTACTTCCAAAAGTTTCAATATGCACCGTTTATTAGTCGGTGAACATTTTCATGTGTATCAAAAAGTTTGTCTACAGACAAGATGAATGGATAAGGAAGTTGTGGTACACATATACAATGGAATATTACTAAGCCATAAAAAAGAATGAATTTGAGTCAACTCAGTTGAGGTGGATGAACTTAGACCCTGTTGTACAGAGTGAAGTATGTCAGAAAAAGAAAAACAAATATCGTATATTAACACATATATGTGGAATCTAGAACAATGGTACTGATGAACCTATTTGCAGGGCAGGACTAGAGACACAGATGTAGAGAATGAACTTGTGAACACAGTGGGGAAAGGAGAAGGTGGGATGATTGAGACAGTAGCATTGAAAGATACATATTACCATCTATCAGATAGTTAGTGGGAAGTTGCCATATAACACAGGGAGCTCAGATTGGTACTCTGTGACAATCTATAGGAGTAAGACGCGGGGGTGGGAGGGAGGCTCAAAAGCAGGGGATATGTGTATACTTGTAGCTTATGCATGCTGTATGGCAGAAATCAGCACAACAGTGTAAAACAATTATTCTCCAATTAAACTAAAAATTTAAAAAGTAGCTGACTAGATCATTGGGTCTTTGCTTTGGATTGAAACTAGATGTCCTCTTTGGGCATCCCATTGTATTTGAATTATGAAGAGTCACAACCAGGAAGAATTTTAGAAAGTCCCTTGGATCTATGCTCACATGTGGATGACCAAAGGGTCTTCAGCCATATTTTGTTTGCCCAAGTAATGTATTAAATTAATTCCAACAATTCATTTAAAATAAGAATTTGTGGCTTATTTTGGAAAAACGGATGATACCAAGTCTGACTCCTTGGATATTGGTAGAGGAGAGCTATCAATTTGTCCCATTAGTTAGGGCATACTCTGTTTAGTTTGCCAGATTCTCCACCACTCCCTATGGTCTCACTTCTGGGACTACTTCACTTATTTATATTTCTTACCTGATCTCTTTAGGTTTTGAGTTATGAATCTATGTTTTAAATTCATGCTTTCATTTTGCAAATGCAAAAAGTGGCATAGAACCTGGTTGATTTATCTAAATTTTTCTTCTAGATCTGAAAGAGTTCCAAGTAGAACTCAGATCTCAAGTGCTCTCTCTTTTGTTGTTTTTACATTGTACCAGTGAGGCAGGTGGCTCATTCTCTCTCTCTCTTAGGGTAATTTGGGGGGTGGAAGAGATTTTTACAGGAGACTATATAGTTCACTCTCTTGCTGCACTGTTGTTTCCAAGTAACTGACAGATGAATGGATAGAATAAGACTGAAACAAACAAAAAATAACAAGCAAAATAGAGGAGGAGGGGGGAATAACCAAAGGTAATAATAATAACTGCCACTGATTGAAGATTTGATATATGTCAAGCCTTATTTAAAATTCTTTAAATGTATTAATTCATCCTCCCAACACACCTACTATCAGGACCACCATTTTTCAGATGAGGAAATCCGGGAGCAGGAGGTTAAGCAACTTGCCCAAAGTTGCATAGCTGCTAGAGGCGGAGAGAGGAATTGAGCAAGGCAGTCAGCTGGGCTCTGACCATCACTCTGTTTTGCTTCTGTGCACACATCTATGTGTACACTCTGGGTTTACACTGCTTTTTCCTGCCATGTTTTCTTCTCCTTGCCCTCCACATCTAACTTATCTCAGGAATACTGATATCGGAACCCCCGCTTGGCCTCTCTCAGTCTTGCCAGAAACTACTGGAAGCCCTGGGCTTGTGCTCAGTTGCATCAGGCATGTTGGACTGCTTGCAGCCCAGTGGACTGTAGCCTACCAGGCACCTCTGTCTATGAGATTCTCCAGGCAAGAATATTGGAATGGGCATCCATGTCAAGGTCTCCTCCAGGAGATCTTCCCGACCCAGGGATCAAACCGAGGTCTCCGTTGTCTCCTGCATTGGCAGGCAGATTCTTTACCACTGAGTCATCAGGAATCCCACCTGAACCCCCATCATCTCCTACTTAAGCCTGCTACAGACTTACTATCAACTCCTTTTGTTCCTATTTCCTGGAATTTTTTTAAAAAA